TTATCTATAATCACGACTACACCATTTCTAGTATGACTCCTACCTGAATACCATATTTTATATCCTAAACTATTAATCGCCTTAGCTTTCTCTTCAACCTATTTAATTTCTTGAATGCACAAAATATTTATCTTCATATGAATCATTATATATATTAATTCCATTAATTTTCTTATAAGGGAGCCTATATTCTATGTTCCTATCCTAATATTTGTTTCATAGACTAGCTTCTTTACCCACATCCATCCTTGATATGGGAACCCTTGCCTATTTTACACTGCACCTGAGCACCTGTGTAGTGGCCCTTGCACACTTTTCACTGTATTTAGGCCATACAATGCATTGCTTCCAAGGGACGCCCTAGTATTAACACATTTTTTTAAAGGATTCATGTCATGATTATTCGATAAATTTTATGCTGGTTGTCGACTATCTAATGCAACCCTTTACTTTTCTCATCCAGGACTTGAGATCTGGTAACGACAGTGTTATGAAGAACATAACAATAAATAAAAAAATTTATAAATTTAAAAATTCAACTATGTTTACCATAATATAAAAGGAAAATATTGATAAAATTTGAGAGCATGACCTTGTGTTTTAATGATTATAGATATTACCTAATAGATTTTACTAATTCTTTCTTTATATATTGCATTTTTTTATGTCACTAACCCTTTCATGTATAGCATACAATAAGCAAAATTTAAGTTCATGGCACATGACTATGTTGCTTCACTATATATGTGAATTTATTTTTAAATGGGTATATTATTTTTATTTATCATGAGCCTATTTCTATACTAAATGTATGTTGGCAAGATAACTATGCACACAAACACAAGGGGGAGTGAAATTAAATATTTAATTTTTTTCTATTAATTGTACTTTAAGATCTAAATTATATTGTATGATATGTTAAATAATAAAAAAGTATTTAAATATTTAATTAAAATGAGGATATTAATAATCATATTATATGATCAATATTTTTTTATAAAACCTTGTTGTCAAATACGTGTTTCATATGTTAGAAATAAGTGGTGAAGTTAAGGGAGCGAGAGCATCCTAAGGGAGTCAAGGGGTATGAGAGAGGTCACATGGTTACTCTGGAAAGCCTACACCTTGAATCCTCTATGTATATATTGATGGAGCACATGGAACGAAGCTCATGAGAATAAATTCATTAGGGCTAAAAACTTCTTTCTAAAGAGGCTAGTCGTAGCATCTTCGTTGATTCGTAGAGGCCAAAAGAGGGAGTGGAATCTCAACCATAACAAGGAGCTAAAGAAAGGAAAACATTTATTTTGGGCTGAGGTGGCAAGAGGAGTGACAAACATCCCTTCTTTGCCAAGAAGTTGAAAGGAGGGATGACATCTTTTTCATGCATAGGAGGCGAGTGGAGGGAGATTCTTCAGGCTTTGTAAATGTAATTCTTCACCTGGTCAAAGGGGAGGGGCTTCTCACCTATTTATATACTGAAGGAGACTCACATTTAGTGTAATATTCAAAGTCGAGGACCTTTATGGAGTGGAGGTAGATCAATCTTATCAAACTAATATAAACCTTAGTTTGCTTTTCTTATAATTTACATTAGTGCACTCTAGTTTAATTTTGATTACATGTGTGAAAGAAGATTTTGGTGATTTTTTTTTTCATATTTATTTTGAAAATAAGTAAAGTAACACAAATAAAATTAATAGTTGTTTTCTATTAGTATAAAAGAAAGAAATAAAATTAAAAATTAGTTTTTTATGAGTTTTTATTTAAGGTTTTAATTTAAACTTTTAACTGCTTCTGCATATTTCAATATTTTTTCTTGTGCCAAAGATTTTCAAAAGTTTTCAAAAAACTAATTGACCGCCACAACCCCCAGCCCAATAGAGTGCCTTAAGAACTATCAAGTTGCATTAGCATACTTTCAATTGGTATTAGAGCTAATTGTGAACTTTAAAAGAATAACCCAACATAGCCATAAGAATAGGTTTTTCACCTTCTTTCTAATTAGAACTTCTAAAACAATTAGAGTAACCTAATATAGATAAAGAATGAGGGTAATCCTCCGTTATGCTGCCAATCTGCCTAAGCTTATTCAGAAGGGACACTTTTTCTTATTTAGAGTTAGAGGCATAAATAACATAAATATAATAAGTACGAGAGTTACCAAAGGTGAGTTGGCCATGGATGACTTGATTGTTAACATAGAGAGAATTAAATTCTATGAGTGGTGCACCCCATTTAATCTAAATCCTCCCAGAGTTGGATAAACTAAAGTTACTACAGTCTATTATGTTGAAAAAATATTTGTTGGTGCTAATAATCCATTGATTAGCCTCTTGGTTGTTATTGATTTTTTCCTCAAGGATACAAAATAGAGACAACATAAAGGACAATATAAGTTCATTTGGTAGACATTCCAAGAGGAAAATTTTGGGCAAGAAATGATATTTCTCATATTTAGCACCCAATTTCTTTCCCCTTGTTTCAATGAATGATTTACTTGCCTCATTGGCGGAGTTTGGTTGTATTTACAGTAGGAGGATTAAATAAGTTTCAAACTAATCATTAAAAAAAATTATTGTGATTTTGGAGAGAAGAGTGATTGGGGAAAGTTCACTAAGGGAGATATTTAGATTGGGAATTACTTTTGGGAATGAGGAGTAAGATTGTCTTTGTTAGGTATCAACTTCTAAAGAGTTTTGAATCACAATCAATATAGGGGCTTTAATTTTATGCAGTAGTTATATATGTGCTGAGATATGGAGTGATTTAGTGGGGTGGAAGGTTTGCAAGGGTTTTGTTCTAAGTTTTCAGGTAGTAACACAACCTAGTCGAGCAAAGGAAGAAAGAAAAATAGAAGAGTGTTCTTAAGAATTAGGTTTGGAGGAATGACAAGTGAACCACGTCCACTAAAAGGAAGATGTTAACCCATCAATGATGAGAGTTCCTTATTAGATAGTGAAATATTTATTTTATCTAGAAAAATGGTGGTTTTGATCACTTGACCACATACTTGAGCAAATGTAAGATATGATTTCTTAACAATAAGAAAATCAATAGATAATGGGAGACTATTAAGACTTATTATTTGAGAAATACCCCTGGGATTCTTGCAAGCAAGAGGGACATCATGAATTTTTATCTAGAGATAAAGCAAAGAAATTTCTTCCTTCTTTGGGCAAAAATTAAGTGTCCATTGTTTCACAAGAAATGACTTATAAAAGAAATACAAGGGACTTCCTGACCATTCTTTTTTGATTTCTTCAGGGTTAGAAAATTAGAATTGAGAAAACCACTTGTTTAAAGGAAGAATATTAACAATAACTTCTAGTTGCCATATTTTGTTTTTTATTCACCACTCAAAATCAAAGCTTCATAATGTTGTCATCTTCCAATAGCATAGCCAACTATGTAGAGATCCCATTCCCTTAAGCCTTCTTCAAATTCCAAAATATTTATTTGTGCTAATAATCTATTGATCATCCTTTTGGTTGTTATTCATTTTTCCTTAAGGATACAAATTAGAGACATTATAAAAGACTATATAAGTTTTTTTAGCAGCTCAATGTTTGTCAAGCTTGTTCTATTCCCTCACATTCCAAGAGGAAAAATCGGGGCAAGACATTGAGTTTTCTGGGATTTAGTGCCCAATTTCATGGCCCTTGTATCAATGAAGGATTTACTTGCCCCATTGGCTGAGTTTGGTTGTATATTTTGTAGGAGGAATAAATGAGTTTCAAACTTGTCATTAATATATATATATATATACTAATTTTTTAGAGTAGAGTGGTTGGGGATAGTTCACTAAGGTAGATATTTAGATTGGGAATCTCTTCTGGGAATGAGGGGTGGTATGATGGTCTTCATGAGCTATCATATTCTAAAGAGTTTTAAATCATGGTCAACATATGGCTTTAATTTTATGCAGTAGTTGTATGTGTCGAGATTGGGGTTATTTAGTGGGGTGGAAGTTTTGTTAATGGTTTTGTTCTAAGTTCTCAACTAGTACTACAATCCAATCGAGCAAAGGAAGATAGAAAAATAGAAGTGTTCATGGGAAATAGGTTTGTAGGATGGACAAGTGAACCACAACAACTACAACGAAGATGTTATTCCTTCAACGAGAGTTTCTTATTAGCTAGAGAAATATTTATTTTATCTAGAAGAATGGTGGTTTTGTTCACCTGAGCACATACCGGAGCAAAGGTAAGATGCGATTTCTCAGCAATAAGTGAATGAAGAGATAACGGGAGATTATTATCCTTTACGATTTGAGAAATACCTTTGGGATTCTAGCAAGAAAGAGGAACATCGAGAATTTTTATCCAGAGAAAAAGCAAAGAAATTTCTTCCCTCTTCGGGTGAAAATCCGGTGTCCATTTTTTCATAATAAATGGGTTAACAAAAGAAATACTTGGGGCTACCTGACCATGCCTTTTTGTATTCTTCGGGGTTTGACAATTATAACACAGAAAACCACTTGTTTAAAGGAAGAATTAACGATTACTTCCCGTTGCCTTACTTCTTCCAATAGCCTAGACAACTAAGCAGAGATCCCATTCCCTTGAGCCATCTTCAACATCCAAATCAGAGAATTGAACAGGCGGATGTTGTGGTGGAATGTACGTAGCTGAAGAGGAAGTTAGCCAAACAACGATTTTAGGCTAATAGAAGGTTTTTCTAGTTAAAGGATTTGGGGTGTTCGATTGATACGAAGTGGTAAGAGTTCCCGGTAAGAGGAGGCTGCAATGTTTGCCCAAGCTGAGGAAAAGGATAGAATACCAAGGAAAAGAGTACATGGCGGGGAGAGTCGCATGAGAGAACGTGGTGTCGGGATTCATAAGGGAGGAAGAGGGTCCTCTGACCAAGCCGGAGCAGCAAGCAAGATGCAGATATGGTTCTCCAACAGCACGCATTTTCGTTTATATTGGGCTTTTCCAATTTAATATCGCTACAGTTAAATAGCGAGTGACTTAAAAAAATAAATATTAATCCAAGTATAAAATCACCGTAAAAAAATACATATATAATATCTTCAAAATTTTAACATCCTGAAAGAACAGTGCCAAGTATGTTTTTACTAAATCCCTCTCTTATTCTTCTGCAGACGCAAGCAGACTGCGTAGCGGTGTCCGCGGCAGCGCCTCAACCCTCCGCCCTTTACTGTCGTATAAGATGGCCCCTGAGAATTCCAGGGGCTGACACTTCACTCCCATCAGAATAGTCCTCTTCCACACTCCCACCTCCTCCTCCTCCTCCTCCTCTTCCACTTCTTCTTCTTCTTCCTCGACCATTCTCCACTTTGAATACCTCGAGAAACCTTTCCTAAATCTACATCCAGTACTTAACCTCTTCACTCCGTCAGCTACAAACGGAATAACGAATCGTCCAGATGAGAACCGTGAGTCAAGACTGCGGCCTGTCATCACCGATCTCAGCCGCCGTGCAGCACCGGACAGGCGCTGGTGACAGGTGAGCATCAGTACCGTAGCCCTTTCCATCAGTTCTTTGGTGACCATTAGCGGATGAGCTCAACAAGAGAGAAAGAGAATGGTATATATATAACTTGACGAATCCAAGACTTGGTATTTATAGCGCAAATTGGTGAAACTTGCGGCCATGTTGAAGAGGGACGGAATTTCAGCGCGAATAGGATAAACACGTGGATTGTGTAGGTTTGATTTGAGATGGTATTCGGATTCATATTTTCTTCTTCAAATGCGTCAGCGAAAAAATTTGGTGGAGGGGAGGTAACCTGTTTTTGCGTGCGTGGCCACCAGAAAAGTCATCATTTGTTCAACATATATGATACAATAAAAAACTATGCATATTATCGTATATGTATTATTTTCTACTGCTTTACATATTGAATTGGAGCAACTAGAAAGCTTACATAATAATTTTCTAACTTAGTTTTATAATTTAAAATTGAAGATATGTTTAAAATTGTAAGATAATCTATTTCCTTATGTAAAAAACGAATTATTAGATTTTATTCATTTTTATCTCATAAAAATAAAGATAAGTACTACAAAGTCATGGAAACATCACATAGTTTAAAAATAATTATTTTTATATTCTCAAAAATTAATTTCAGATGCGCTCATTAGATTAAGTATTTAGAATTTTCGAGCAGTTGTACTTCTTTTGCATTTTAACTTTTTTTTTTAATTTTTAAAAATTTAAGATAACTTAAACTCCAACATTATTTGATGTTTGTTTATTCTTTTTTATAGTGTAAATTTTATTATGACATTTTACTTGCATGCAATTTAATCATAAAATCAGCATAAAACATAAAAATTATTATACTACCCTAATACAATACGTACTTCTAGGAATTGCTATTAGTTACGTGTTCTTTGATATTGAAAAATAGTTTTATTATAAAATGTGGGGATAATTTGTAATATGTTACATTCTATTATTCAATTAAAAGTATCTCTGTAATATCATTGTTGAGTGTCACAACCTTCACAATGCTAAAGATATAGAATATATAATATTATAATTTTGTATAAAAATCGAACATGCATAAGATTACAATGAGTTGTAAGTGGCACCTAAGTTTTCGCATGAAAAGCTCGCAAAAAAAAAACTGTGGGCCCTCACCAACTAACATGATTCCACTACTATTTGTCATTGGCTACAAATAATTAAAATTTCTATGATTAGGAGTTGTTAATACAATATATTATACACAAGCTATAAAATTTCTCTAATGGAAGTTCAAAATACTCCATGAAATAAGAAATCAAGCATATACTATATATTCAATTTGTTTTTAACTATATATTAAATTATAGCTTTTAAAAGAGAAGAATAAAGATTAGGAAAACCAGCCTAAATCTAATTATAATGTCAAGAGTCAAAGTTTATATCAATCCCATGCATTGTTCATATGGATAATGATGTACATTAATTTTTTTGGAAGATAGCAATAGATGAAGAAGGTGAGCGGGTTGTAGCAAGCCCAAGTTTGTTAAAGGATTGTAATACGAGTGATAGTGGTCTAGCAATTGTAGGTTGGTGATCGTGGTTTAAAAGAGTAATTGGACAAAGAAGGTGAGAGGATTGTAGTTTAATAATTGAAATCAAAGGACATTAATCGAGTTAGAAAGAAAATAGTTAAGCGATAGAAGTCAGAGGATTGTACTTTCACAAAAGTGGTCAGAGGACCATGATATGCCAATGAAAGTAAGAGGAATGTAGTTGAGCAACATTGATTTGGTGGCCATAGTTAGGCGATAAGTTTTGGTGGATAATAGTTTGGTAATAGTTATCATAGGTCCATCCTCAAACAATAGAGGCCTGCGTATTGTAAATTGGTGATAAAGGATAAAACATCATTGTTTTGCAATGTTGGTTGATGGACCATATTTATATTATAAAGATCATAGGTCTATAGTCAAATGAGCAAGGTTGAAGAACCATAATCAAATTATGAAAGATAGAAGGCCATAGTCATGTGATAGAGGTCAAGGAATCTCAATTAGGTGATGGAGAATGAGAGGCCATAATTTGTTGATAATTGTCGAGTGTCATAGTTTGTTAATAGTTGATAGAGGGTCATAATAGGGTAACAATGGTCGAAGTGTCCTTTCTAGGTGATAGAGGTCATAAAACCATTAGCAAGACACTAAAGGAAAACAGCTTATTTCCGGCGGAAATAAATTCGTCACCAATTCCGGCGGCATTTCCGGCGGATTACCGACGAAACATTTTTTGACAGATTTTCTGGCGGATTTCCGGCGGAATTTTTGATTGGTTTTCCGACATAATATTTCCAACAGAATTTCCGACGGAATTCTGAAAAAAAAGGACTATAATAAATATTTATACTTAATTATTTTATTAAATTAAGTTAAATAATTCGGTTTGGCGGGGCTGGTGCAGCCCGTGAGTGAGTTTCTCGGGCTTACTGGGATGGCTGATCCGATAGTTCTTTTTTACTTTTTTTTATTTTTTAAATTCCGGCGCAAAATAGTCTGCCGGAAATTGTACTGGTGGAATTATTCCGCCGGAAATATTTCCGATGGCCTATTTTACGACGGAGCTACTTTTCCGACGCGCATTTTACCGTCAGAAAAAAATCCATCGGAAATCCGCCGGAAATGCTAATTTCCGACGAATTTTTGGCATTTTCCTATGGATTTTGGCCTCCGGTAAGACAAGAATTTATTGTAGTGAAGAGGTGGTTGTTAAGGAATATAAAGGATAATGTTTATTGGGCAATGTTGATTAGAGGACCATGGATTAGTGACATTGTATACATGATCATAGTTGAGGATCAAGTTATGTTTGGATAATGTTTGTTAGTGTGGTTGTTGATAGTGATAGTCATCATAATGGTAGTGGCCAATCGATTGTTAGAGGAAGGTGTTTAGATACTGGTCTAAACTAATTATTTATATAAAGTTTTGTGATTCACAAAGGCTATGTGCCATATTGAATCTCAAGCCAAGCACCACTTTAATGTGATGATTGGGGGTATTTTTATTTAAAGTGGACCTCTATCTTTAAGCTATAATGGGACCATTATATAATTTGTTATTGAGATACATTATTTGGCTATGGAATAGCATTTTTGAAGTTTTATTCAAAAAATTAAATAAAAAAATTCTTGGTTGAATTTTTTTTAGGGGAAACCAATGGAGGGGCTTACGCATTGATTAAATTTTAAAATTACAAGGTCCTTAAAGGGACCTCTAGCTTTTCTACTGCTCAAAAGAGCTACAATAAAAAAATAAAAAATCCTAAAAGCTCAAGGTCCCTACTATGGAAAAAAATACAATTACCTAGATACAATCTATGGTACACAAGAAGGGGCACCCAAAAAACAGAGAAGCAACAGATAAGAACTTTCAGCACCAATTTCCTTATCCAAAAATGAGAGAGGAAAACACCAGCACAAAAACTATCCTGTAAAACAAAAAAAAAACCACAGCAATAAGAACATAATAACTTCCTACATAAATGAAGAAGAGAGTATCACAAAGGAATCATATACTTCCTCCAAGAAGCCAAAGACATCAAAAACTTCCAACTGAGCAAGCACGGGTTAAAGGGAGACATTACCAGCTAGCTAACTTTATAGCTCCAATAAAAATAAGTCAAATTAATCTCACTGGAATAAAACACCATCCAGCTCAAATAACCCAACAAACCCAAACCACCAGCAATCCAGAAACAACCAGCATCTACCACCCCAAGAGAATAGGGAACACCACATAACACCCAAAAGGCCCAACCACTGAAATCCCAACAGCCAAAAAATTTGCACCCAATACTCCACACATAGAGAAGAAACCACCAAAAAACAACAAAATAAGACCAACACTGAGGCCAAAAATTAGTCACAAAAAGCTAATTGAAACCAGTAATATTAGTAGTGCTCGGACAAAAGGAGCTCAGGTAAGTCTTATAAATGCAACCATCATAGATTGAAACCTGATGTCACTCCATCCAGGCCCCAGGCCCAACACACAATAGGTATCAATCCAATAGAAAATAGAGAACACCATCCAAGGTAGTAGCCACCCCCAGCAGAAAGCCACCACCTCCAGCACACAAAATGCCAGCCCATAAATACAATACCCCGAACCAATAACCTTCCTAGAAAATAGAACGGAATGAAAGAGGCCCACCAACCTTAAACCAACAGAAAACCAATCCACAAACAACAAGTGAACGAGCAGAAACAATCCCACCCTTAGCCCAGGAAACAACCAAACCTAGAAAATAGAGGAGCCAAGGCTACCAAAGCCCACTAAGTATAGCCTAATCAAAACCAAGGGGAGGAGAGAAAAAAATATGATCCTCCAAACATAAAGGTAACAATCATTGCTCCACCCAAAAACACCATAGCACAACCCAAAATGAATCACACAACCAAAAAAACACAGTCAGACTCCTCCAGAAACCAAACCAACAAAAGGACAAGAAGAGAAACGCCCCCAGCCAAGCTGGAAAAAAGATAACAAAAAAAAAAAAAAAAACTATTTGAACTCTAACATAAGGGTAAGACATAATCTCCAAATTGATGAGACCTCTAAGAGGCACAGGAACATTGACATCCACAATGTCTTTAAAGCAATCAGACCCAGCACCAAAATAAGCTAACCACCTAGCAGCAGCATTGTCTTCCTTAAGCACATAAGAAGTGTCAATATAAATGAAACAATCGAATGCTTAATATCACTTATAATATAAAAAAGCTGAGGGTCACACACCAAATCCATCCCCTTAAATAAGCATTGGATGTTAAGGGAAGGCTCCATCTCAATTGTAATAGTAGTAATATCAAGAGACAAACAACTTCTTAACCCATAGAGAATGGTAGTAAAAATAGCCAAATGGATATTACCCATAAAAGGCTCCACAAAGGCAAGAATAAGATTGCCATAGCCATATCTGATGATGACACCACACCCTAAAATGTTATTCCCATACACAGCACTAACATTCAGCTTGAAACAACCAACCTTCAGTTCAACTAAAAAAACTAGACGAGGAGAAGTAGCCTGCAAAGAGATCT